AAGAAGCCAGTTGGTACTTTTTGAGGATTCACTCCCCTCCTTATTTTACATATACTATATATATGTATATATATATATATATATATATATATATATATATATATATATATATATATATATATATATATATATATATATATATATATATATATATATATATAACTAATTATATATATATAAATATATATATAAATATATATATATATATATATATATATATATATATATATATATATATATATATATAATTAGTTCTTTTTTTAATATATAAAAACACAATAACATTTTATTTAAAAAAAAATCTAAAAAAATAAAACAAATGTTAAACAAAATTTTATTAAAACAAACAAAAAAAAGGTTTCCTAGCAATAAACTTTTATTAAAAACAAACAAGTATTAAAAAAACTAAAGATTTATAATTCATTTTAATTCAACAATTAGATTTCCATAATGTTTTTTTTTCGTTGTTGTTGATGAAGAAATATAAGCAGATTTTTTGTTTTTTTTTCTTTTTCAGTTGCTGTTTTATTGGAGTATCAGTAAGTATTTACCGTATATTATTTTAGAAACGAATAAAACAAATTCTGAGATAATCCAGTCTGTCGGGACCACTTCAACTTTGGCTGTGTTAGGAAAAAATACATTCAAAACATAGTTTTCTAAATTTTTGCAACTGAAATATTTAAATTCGTTAAATAAAGCAATGCAGGTTTTTAACACCATAATAAATTTGTTTCATAAAAAATTTGTTTACGCATACTCCCTAATACTTAATTTTAATAATGCTTTCAGTTTATAAATTCAGTAAACTATGCACTTTCCCAATACAGCATGTTACAAAAAATTAAATCCATCAGTTTAGAATTTATATAGGACCAGCGCCGAATGCCATCACTAAATCGATAAATAAGTGTTGGCAGGAAAACGTGCGTTGGGCCAATGCCGTAAGTTTAAAAGAATAAAAACAAACAAAATGAAGGGACACCTTCTTATTCAGCAGACTAATTATAGCAAAATCACAGTGATTTTTTTTGTCAGTTTTTAATTTTGTTAAATTACAAATAAGATATTTCAAAACGTAGCTTTTTCGTTGAAAGTTTCACAAAATATTTTTTCGATATAATTGTAAAAAGATGAATCAAAACTGTTACTTTATACAAAAAAATTGTTGTATTTTTTATTCAAAATATCATCAATGAATAACATATATCAATATTTTCCGAATATTTTTTATATTTAGTTTTTTTTAGCTTCTATATTACTACACAATGCTGTTGATATGTGTATGAATGTAAGTATCAATGGTAGATTACGGTAGATTAGTAGCTTTTTTTTCACAGTTTGAAAATTTTGGACCCTAATACGAAAAACAGCTCCAATGAAAACCCTTTTGAGAAGTATTAGTACATATGATAGGGATCTAATAACAAGTAATTTTGAAGTCAGGGATTACCGTCCGCAAGACTTATTTGACTTTATTAGTTTTATCTTAATCAAACGCTGTGACTTTTACTGAAAAATTTTTCTGACACTAGTTTACACAACTTTTCTTAATATAACAAGTATCAAAAGTTTAAGAAAGTGTTACTTGATGGTATTTGGCGTATTTTAAAACACCAATATGATTTTTTTAAAGTCTTATCACCAAAATAATGTCAACAAAATTACGGCGATTGTTTTCCGGGAAAGGGCTGCATTAATATCATAGTTTTGAAGAAAAATTCGTAGAATGTGCATCAAAAATGCCCAATTCAGCAAAAACCCATGAGGATTGTCGAAAATCTGTGTGGATTATCTGCATGAAGAAAGGAGACCAAGTTCCGACAGACTTTTTAAAGCAAAAGGTTCAGCGCCTCATCAAGAAAGATCTGAGCTTCAATGACTGCAGAGTTCCTCTTCCCTCATGTCAGACATGTCATTTTAAACTGAAAAAGCTTGAAGATGGGGATCCTAAGACGGGTAAACCAAGATTGTACAGGTTTGAAGACATTCAAATAAAACCGGCAACTCGAAGTTCAAACACCTGTAATTGTTTGAGCTGCCGAATTGATAGGCTCAAAGGTAAAAAAACTCACCCACTTGAGCAAAAAGACCAGCCTGCAACAACCAGTCAGCCACCTAAAAGTTTAGAAAAACGTTGATCAAAATGTTTGTCTGTTCTCTCACGAGGCCTTTCTCATCATTGCATAATTGGTTCACGCCATGAAAACTTGAAGCAACTGGCATTGTCAGATCCTAAAGGAGCTGAACAAGTTGCATCTTCCATTGTTGCATCCAAGGAAGCATCTCCTGGAGGAACAATTCGACTTACCACATTCTTCTTTAGAGAATGCTAATTTCGTTTTTTTAGGTGGTGTTGTTGCTCATGAGCTTTTTCCTTCCAGACTTTCAACAGGGGGTATGGTTCAAATTCAACAGAATACAGGATTGTCTAACAATGGAATGAGAAAACTTGGATCGTTCATCAATCATATCAGCCCAACAAGATTAGTTGAACCAAACTTTCAAAAAAAGTTTGCTGAGTTTGGACAAAAATTGCAGAACTTTTTTACTGTCAGCAGCTTGAAGATTTCGGATTCTGGAAAAACAGGGTTGTGGTTCATTGCAAAAGCATTAAGGGCTTGAAAGACAGGATTGAAGAAGAAATTGGCTCCTCAAAGACTGCCTTTGGAAAAATAGGTATTGATGGAGGAGGGTCATTTTTAAAAGTGAGCATTGGAGTTATTGATGAGGAAGAAAACAACCTATAGCCCCACAGTCCAGTCCAAAAATCTGCCAAACTCACGACATAAGTTTCAAAGCAAACTAGTGTGAAAAAGCAATTTCTTGTGGCTGTTGCTGATGACACTCCTGAAAATTATTGGAATGTGCAAGAGATTTTTCAACTCATCAAGCTTCAAGAACTAATCTCATCAAAAGCTGCAGTAATTTCTTGCGATATGAAACTTGCAGTTCATCCCACCTATGGAGCTTCATCTTCTGCTAGGGTTGGTCAACCATCTGTTCAAATGCTTAGTGCAAAAATGGCCAAAGGCCACAGAATGGCCAACTTCATTGCACATCAAGATTCAGCCTTTTCATGGAGGGCACTTCAATGGCAATGACTGTATGAAGCTTCTGAGGAAAATTGACAAATTGGCTAAAATGTATGAAAATGAGAGCACTTCTGAGTCATCTCAATTCATTCAGACATTCAAAGACTTTCACGAAGTTGTCTCTGCACGCTTTGGAAAAACTTTACATCCCAACTATGAGGAAAAAATCACCATCTTCAAAAACAGTTACATGAGTTTAGGAATCTCTGTTTGGAAAACAGTGTAAAATCCAAAGGTTAACACTGTTTTCCACCATGTGACACAGTTCATCAAGCTGAAAAAGAAAAGCCTTGGTCTATACAGTGAACAAGCCACTGAAGCACTGCATTCGGATTTTAGGCAAGCATTGGGAGCAATACAAAAGATTGAACACCCATCCAGACTACTCCAGTCAACTCCTAAAGTGTGTCATTGATTATAACAGCAAGAAAATGTAGAGTAGCTTGCTATGAGGCACTGACCATCAATGAACATGTTTCATTTTTGAGAATTTATTAGTTTATCTTTAGAATGTATTTATTTTGTAATAAATAAATGTTTTAAGATGTATTTTTATCATTTGTTACCTTTTTACTTCATAATATGGTAATTTAGGGCAGCCAAAAATTTTTGGAGGAATTTTGCAATTTTTCAGGTTTCGCAATTTAAAAGCAAAAACTTCAATGTAGACTAAGTCTTGCGGACGGTAATCCCGGATTTCAAAATTACTTGTTATGAGATCCCTATGATATGTACTAACACTCCTCAAAAGGGTTTTCATAGGAGCTGTTTTTGGTATTAGGGTCCAAAATTTTCAAACTGTGTCTTACAACAAGTCATTTTTTTATAATTTGTCTACAATCAGATTTTTCAAAAATATTTCAATAAAGAGCTTTTATGTTTCAAGAGAAAAAAAAATCATGTTGTGCAGATGACAAGAATGGACATTGCGTAAAATATTTGTAAATTGTTTGAACAATAAAAACATTAATTTTAATTTTTTTTTTAAGAATGCATTAACCAAGAAGTAGAACCAACTCTTCATATCTCGAACACTAAGGAAACCGGGTTAAAAGTTCAAGATATGCAGTGTTTGTGATATCAAGAAGCCGTGGCGCAGTGGTTAGAGTTCTGGCTCAGAACCCAGAGGTTCGAGGTTCGACGCCAGCTCTAGCCCAACAAGCGACATAGGTACGGAAGGAGGCGTGAACTTCTTGTTAAATGCTCTACCGTGGTGCTCTATGATAAGACCGTAAGGACTTCTGGGAGCACCTAAATACATACAAAAAAAAAGAAAAAAAAGAAAGTGGTTGAAAATAAGTAAAATTGTTTGGCTTTCATTAAGAAACAAGTTATTTTTCTGGCAAAAATCATTAATAACAAAAACTACAACTTTTGGAGAAAATCTGTTATCAAATTATGATATTTAACACCCGGTCCCCTTAGTGTTCGAGATATGAAGAGTTGACTGTACTTCTTAGTTAATGCTTTCTTAAAAAAATTTGAAATTTTTAATGTTCAAATAATTTACAAATATTTGATGCAATGTCCATTATTGTCATCTGCACAACATGATTTCTTTTCTCTTGAGATTTAAAAGCTTTTTCTTGAAATATCAATGATATTGCTTCAATTCATCTTTTCATCATTATTAAATTTTCAATTCAAGTTTTTAGAATTGAACATTTCCTTATTTTGAGCTGTATAGCGAAGCATTTTGAAGCGTTTCAAAAGAATTTTCTAATTGAACTTCAGAAGGTTTTGACATCAAAACCTTCGTCAACGCTTAACTTTGTTATCGTCTTATTATCATAATTAGTCTAACATCTGAGCAATGGTTTCAGCATCAGTATCATGTGAACCGGTGGTTACTACATTGCAATCTAAACCAATTTAAGATTCCGCTAAGTGATCTTCTTGAACGGCTCAAGAATCTAACTTTCGCAAACAATCAAGTTCTTCTGTTAAAGATTTAAAAGGATGATCATCATTAACTTCTGAAATACTCTTGTTTGTTTTGCTGATACCAGCTTTATTAAAGCAATTGATGCCAGTCTTCTTTGACACAGCATTCCATGAAGAAATACGATCTTTCGTTGCTTGAAGTAGAGCCTTGACACGCAAACGCAGAATTTTGTGACGATAGTGAACTTTAATACTTTGTATTACGCCTTGATCCATGGGCTGAAGGACAGATGTTGTGTTAGAGGGAAGAAATATCATGTTGATGTAGCTTAGCTCTTCAATGTGTGGATAGGCAGAACAGTTATCCACTTGGAGCGCTACTTTTCTGTCCTGAGTACGAAAAGATGAGTCACGCATCTTTACCCATTGTGTAAAAAGGTCTCCAGTCTCTCAACTTTTTAGCTTGTATTTATATGTGCGAGGAAGTTGTTTAATGTGCTTAAAACATCGTGGGGTTTTAGATTTTCCAATAAAAGATAATTTATTATTATTTTTTTTTTTTTGCTATTTTATATATTTACAATAAAGAATATTACATTTATAAATATTGGCCGGAGCAAGAATATGACATTGATGTTTATCATCGAACTCCGTTTACATACTGTCCGTGTTTATAAACAAAAAATGAAATATACACAAAATGTTTAAAATACTTAACTTTTGTCAAATAACAGAATGACTTTTAAATTGATTTAAAAATAAAAAAAGTTTTATATACTTATACAAATATATTTGATACATGTTTAACAATATATATTTAGCGCTAATGAAAACGTTTTTTCTATTTTAAAATTACCTTTTAAAAAAGTATTTCAAATCTATTGTATTAAAACCTAATTGAAATAAGATTCTTTTAGAAACTGTTTTAAATTCTTCTAGTGAGTAGTGTTCTTTATTGATCTTTTTAATAAAATTTTTGCATAAGAAAAGTCTTCGATATTGAATTTGATAAGAACTCATTTTTAAATTAATTCTCGGAACAATAAAGTTATTCTCTGAAAACTTTGTTGGATACTTGAGAGGTATTTCGCTAAAATAAGATTGAAATATAAGTGTAGATATTCCACGTGTCATTTTAAGCATGAAAAGTAGTATTTGGCTAATGTTTAGTTTATAAATATTTAAGGTAATTGAGACGACTTCATCGTGGTTTGAAATACACAGTTCTGTTTGCCCCAAATACAATCGTACAAGCATGCTTTTGTTTACTATAAAGTTTTTTGAGTGTCTTCGTAAATCGTACTTCCCCATGCAATTTTGCTGTAAGAAAGATAGCATGGGAAAGAAAGATGATTAATGAAAAAAAAATTTTCATTAGAGCTCTAGTATTTAAAAATGTTTTGTTTTATAAAGTACGGAAATATTATGAGAGATTTTACTTTCAATGGATTGGATGAACTTCCATGATAAGTTTTCACCAAGAATTACTCCTAAAAAGTTAACAGTAGAATCCCTTTTTACATCCCTTTTTACTGTTTTATTGAATAAGAGATTTGACAGTTTAAGTGGAGTATTATCAACTTTATTTGGTTTGTGGAATAGGATGAATTTAATTTTATTTATATTTAGTGAAAGGCGGTTACTTATAAACCATTCATTTACTTTAGATAGTTCTTCATTACAATTTTTAAAAAGAACTTTTATTTCTTTGTGTGAATAAAACTGATTAGAATCGTCAGCAAACAATGTAAGATATAACTTTTTAGATGCTAAAAATAAGTCATTTATATACACTAGAAACAATAATTGTTAGAAAATAGATCCTTGGGGAACCCCGCAACTTAAATTTTTTGTTTTTCTTCATTTGTTTTATAGATTACGCATTGTTTTCTGTTAGTCAAGTAGTCTTTAAACCAAAGTAAGTTGAAGTTGTTTACTCCATAAAGTTTTAATTTTTTTATAAGGATTTCCTAATTGACATTGTCAAATGTTTTTGATAAATCAACGAAAACTCCTAAGGTAAAATAATTTTTTTCAAAAGCATCCGATATATAGTTTACAAGTTCAATTACCGTGTGATCCGTAGAATGATCTTTTTAAACCCAAATTGTTTGTTGTACAAAAAATTATTTTATACTAAATGATTATAGAGCCTATTGCACATAATGCGTTCTAACAATTTAGAGAAACAAGGTGAGATAAAAATTTTTCTCCTGTTGCACTCCCAGCTGTAATGCCTGTTAGTCGGACTTTACTTTTTTTTCCCCCGAAACATTTTACTCGTGATAAATGGTACGCTCTGTTTGGTAGGCACCGGTAAAATAGCCAAAAATCATTGGCATTTAAAATGTTTTTAATTTAGTAATTCGAAAGCAATGTTGGAAATTTCATTCCATTAAACAGTCATATCGTTCGCCACAGTCTGACCCGGGGCCCACGGCGGCACTTGCGCCTGACATTATTTTAAAGCTGATGATGATAGGAGCAGAGTAATTGAATATTAACTGCACGTTTGAAAAATTTAATGCTGGTACATGTGTATCTGTTAATATATAAATTGAACAAGGTTTGACAAAATTTAACTAACTTTTCTTTTTAATTATGAAACCAACAATTAGATGCTTTGAAATCCTAATGCTTTTGCAAATTTTAGTGCCCTTTCTTTCAGTATGGTGCCATCAATTGGTACTAGTTGACTTCTTTATGCAACGAATTACGAAAATATGGCCTTGTCTACATTTTCAAAATTATCACTGCAAAGTTTCTTCCGTTTATATTTTGTGCCATTTTTTTCCATCGAGGATAATAATTTGTTTTTACTTTTAAACCACGTTAATATTGTGTTCTTTGGGACAACATACTTTTGGGAAACCTCTTTGTTAGACATCACTTTCTCTAGGTCTTTTAATGCTTTGCTTTTTTCTTTTATAAATTTGTTTTTAAGTTTTATAAGTGGAATATCTCCACTTATATTTCAACCTTATTTTAGTGAAATATCTCATAAGTATCCAACAAAGTTTCCAGATAATAACTTTATTGTTCCGAGAATTATTTTAAAAATAAGTTCTTATCGAATTCAATATCGAGGAACTTTTTTTATGAAGAAATTTTATTAAAAAGTTCAATAAAGAACACTACTCACTAGAAAAATTTAAAACAAAATCTAAAAGAATCTTAATGAATAAAATCTAATCTATAATTAGATTTTAATAGGCTTTAAATATTTTTTTAAATGGTAATTTTAAAATAGAAAAAACGTTTACATTAGCGCATGTTAATGTTTATATCTTTATTTCGAAAGTAACAAAGTTATAAACAATAAAAGTTGTGCTTTTATTTTGAATAAAACGTTGACATAATAGCAGCAGTAGTAGTAGTAGTAGCAGTAGTAGTAGAAGCAGTAATAGAAATAGTAGCAGTAGTAGTAATAGTAGTAGTAGTAGTAGTAGTAGTAGTAGTAGTAGTAGTAGTAGTAGTAGTAGTAGTAGTAGTAGTAGTAATAGAATAATAGTAGTAGTAGTAGTAGTAGTTTTATCAGTGAAACATAGTGTCACGATAAAAATATTGCAAAGAATTCTAATTTTCAATTACCAGGTAATTGGTAATAAGGTAATTTATCTTATTGTAATTAAATTTTATTTAATTTTAATATTAATTATAATCAATTTTTAAAACGACTTAATTATTTATCAAGTTAGAAAATCTATTAAGTTAGCTGGGGGTTTGTGTATATACTTAAAAAACTCAATAATACTCAAATTTAGTCTAGATTTAAGTTCCACCACTAATGATTACAAATTGTTATGCTTCGAAATTATTAATAAAATCTCAAAAACATCGTCCATGCTTTATACCGACCGCTATCAGTTAGCATTAAGGTATTTGAAAATTACATTAAAAGAATAATTAATAAAAATAATTATCTATTATATATTATTACCGAACTTAATAGTGTTAGTAGTAGTAGTGCGCTTTCGAGCCTGTTTGACACGGTACCCTTGGCAGTCATTGCAAGCAAGGTAATGGCAAGAAAGAGTTGCAGCACTTTTTTTTATAAGAAAACGTGAACGAATGCAAATCCAAATATCTAACGTACGTAAACTTTAAATTAAGTAATGTTAAAACATACTGAAACATTTATCAAGTTTTACAGTTTGATTTTTACTTGAAAATTGCATTGCGTCAAGTTCTCCTTAATTTTGATCTATAACATTTTTTCTTTATAAAATTAAAATATTCGCTTGAGTATGTGCCAGTGTGGCCGAGTAGATAAGACGTCGAGCTTCTGAACAAGTAAGCCGAGGTTTGATTCCCACCAATGGCGGCTTTTTTTTTATAATTTTTTTCGATTATTTTAAAATACAAAATAATTTTGAAGTTTTATAAAGATTATAAACAAACATATCTAACGTAACGATATTATACACTTTCACAAAAGAAAAGATTTTAAGAAAACTAAAATGTCATAAACCATCAACAAAAAAAAAAATTTCACCGAGAGAAAAAATTTGTTGCGTATGTATGATGATTGAGTCACTTATGTTATAAATGTGCTCAGGTAATTAGTCCTAATAAGCTGTAGTCCTAATAAGGATGATCTGAAAAAAAAACTGTCTAAAACTTAATAAAGAAAAAACTATATTAAATAAATAAGAAAGTCCTGCTACTCTAGATGGTGTTGCCGTGGAGGCAAAAAAAAAAAATTAAAATAAATAAAAGCCCGTAGCTAGAAAAAAAATTTTAAACTTTCTTTTGACGATGAAAAGCTTTTTTTGCTACATTTATTTTTTTACTATAAATATATGCTGCAGCTGTTTTTCAAAACGCCTAAAGAGTCATTTTTTGTAAGAATCAGGCAGTCAATAGAAGTGACGTCCTCCTAATTGCTTGAATTTTTTATATATTGATCAGAATATAGAGAAAACCTGTTGAAAAAAAAAATTTCAAAAATGTTTCCTTCACTCGGAATCTGGGCTCAAATTTTTGAGATTTTTTTTAAAAACTTTTAGAAATTTAGTTTTTGACAACTTTGAACCCATTTTTTTGGCAAGGCAAAAAATTGCACATAGCTTTTGTAGTTAATATCAGACGTGATCCAAAAGCTCTCTCCAAAAAATATAAAAAGTTGCGTGACACTGTGCGGTTGGCTAATTATCATAGTTCAAAAGTACAAAATCAATCAGTTATGCCAATTTTTAATCATTATTTCTAGGAGCGAAGTTTTGCACACAATTTTTCTTTTAGGATTTCAAAGTATCAAAGGTATTAATTCTAAAAAACAAAAATTGAACATCAAGATAACTATCAAGATAATTAAATAAAACATAAATCAAACATTTAAATGTATTTCTATTTAAAAATTAGTTTTTCATTTATTAATAGAGCCATTTACACACATTATCCACCACATCACACAC